TAAAAAAAAAAAGCAAAGGACCTAAGGCTTTGGTCTGAAAGACGTGAAGCGACTTTATGTACCTGACTTTATAAGAATTTTGCTAGAGAATGTGGCTTGGCTGTATGTTCTCTGTGCAGAAGATGAGGCAAAGGGCTCAGGAAGAGCTGGAAGACGATGTTGATGGCGTGGGAATGCGGGTGACACAGCTAGGGAAAGCAGGCCGAGCAAGGAGGAAGGTTCTAGACCTGGACATGCTCTTCTGAGAGCCTCAGTCATCCTTCCAACACATCATGAACAAGAGTCAGTGGATACAGGAAGCAGAACTCACCACAGCCCAGAAATTTTCCATCAGAACTGTGTAACTGTGGACACCAGCGGCCTCGGAAACGTGAAAGATGCAGAGGGACTTCAAAAAATTTGTGGAAAAATGGAATTAAAATAATGAATTTTTCCACGAACTTTTTGAAGCCCCATCATACAAACTCACTCAGGGTAAAGGATAGGAACTCTTCACACAGGAGGGCATTCCCGCACTGGGTGGTTCAGCGGATGAGTGGAATGAGCAACTAGCATTTACTGAGCCCTTGCCGGGGGCTGGGCACTGTGGTAAGCACTTTTTTCATGCCTTAACTCATTGAGTTCTGGAACAGTCTATGCAGTAGGGCAACTGATGCCAAGTTTTGCACTGCAGACACTTTCTAGGGCTACGTGGATCCACTGAGCCAGAGGATGCTCTTCCCTGAAGATACTGCTTTATTCCCTTCCAAATCTAAAATTCTAATCTCTGTTCCAAAGCGAAGGTGCTCTGGTGACACAGTGGGTAAGCACAGGACTGTTAACTGCAAGGTGGGAAGTTCAAACTCCCCAGCTACTCCACCGAAAAATGAGGCCGTCTCAGCAACCCTAGGGAGCAGTTCCACTCTGCCTGATAGGTTGCGATGAGTCGGAACCCACTTGATAGTAGTGAGTGGGTCCCCAAGCTATCTCAGATACAGCTTTTTAAACAAATATTCAAGAAGCCTTCTCAGTCCCCATTTTCTGTTTTTTTGAGACTGAGTAATAACAGGATCAGCATTCTGCTCTCTAGATACCCAAGCTTTAAATTCAGTAAAGCAAACTGAGCCAAGGCAAAAATGAAGTAACAACACCTGAGGTGGTTGTACTAACCTTTCAACGGGTCCTTTCAGGCTTTAACTGGAGTTTACTCATAAGGAAAAATGTCAGTGTTTTAAACTATGAGAGGTATTTAGAAGAAGAGACAAAGAAACGGACGATGAAAGCAGGGTTGACATGTTACTCCAAAGATAGGCTGATGGGAGGATAAGTTGATTTCACTTTTGCATAATGCAGGAGATAACATCCCTCCGACCTACCTGGACCAAAACACTGAACTCCAAGCCTAAGAGCGTCAACTCTTCCCATTGCACACCTAACACCAATCTGCTAACAATCATTCAAGCACAATAATTGGTAGCTACGCAAGGGAAATAGCTCTTTCAGATGAGACTTGGTGTCAGCACAAAAGTGAGAACGTTTCATTAACCCAACATTAGGGAGGGAGAAACTCCTATGCAACTGCAATCCACACATTCACAAATAAGAGCGATTCTATCATAACATGCTGACCGCCAGAGATGGACAGTACCAACAGTATTCCCTTTAGCTTTTCTTTGGATAGGCAGACACTGAAAAATAAACTGGCCTACTGAAATTTAACGATAATGTTGCATTGTTATGGCTGTTTTTCCTGCAATCAAGAGTAAAATGCTTTTTCGTGTTGTTACAAAGTCAACATGTTATAGTCAAATCACCTGACTGCCACAGTACCTGCAGAATGAGGCTTCAAAGATAGAAGGTACTCTCCCTAAAAAGTCCTGGCCTTTTCCCAGAACATCTCTCCATGTGCTCCTTCTGAGTATGACTAGCTAGGTTCTATCTTGAGGGAATAAAGTAATAATAGATGTATCCCACATAAAACAATAATAACACAGCAAAAAATTAGAAAATATTTGGGGGAGTTAGCCACCAATAAATAGCATTTGTGAGAACATAATTTCTCTCAGCAAGAAGACAATTTCAAACACTGAAACTCTTAATAATATTATCAATTCTCTGAACCCATAATTCTACTTCTATAAATTAGACTAAGGAACTAATCTGACCACTGTAAAGTTTATATGTATGAGGATAGTTGCCATAGCATTATTATTATAATGGCTAAAAAGCATACACAATCCATCAGTGAAGGAATAGCTGAAGAAATGAAGATACAATCATATAATGGATGCTATAAGCAATGATTAAAACTGATGAACATATTTATTAACATACAGAGATGACCACAATCTGCTTAATGTAAAAAGCAAGTTATAAACTGAAAGCATTATTTGTAGATATATTACTCAGAAAAAAAGGTCAGGAAGGCTTTACTATAAAATGCTCCCAACACTGGTTTTTCTTAAGGACTCAAGGTAAAAAGTAATTTTTGTTCACCTGTAACTTTTCTGCATAGCAAAAAAACTTGAATAACAAGTACAAACTATCTTTTAAATAATACACACAGAAAAACAATAATGTCCATTCTGTCTCTTTCGAAATCACAGCCAGGCCATTTCACAGGCAAACCGGAAGCTAGTTCCTGGTTGTTTTGATCGGATGCCCAGTGCACCAGCAACTAAACATAAGGCGTATGTCTACCCACATACCCCAGCACACAGTTTCCCATGCTTTCACAAAGCCATTGAATTGCTTACATACTTTTTTCAAATTCCTCCAGTTTTTTAACAGCTTCATCTCGTTCTTGCCTAATCTTGTCACACTGAAAGGAAGAGAAAAAAAGGAAATGTTAGATTTGCATCATAAATTGTTAAGTTTGAAAAAACAAGGAATAGCAAGTTTATAAACAACAGCTTATAAACCAAACAAAACTTAAAACTTAAAAAAAAAAAAGAAAGAATCAATAGTCATAGGGCAATTGTACTGCTCAGCCAGCATGGTGTTTGGACCTTCATTATCTACTGAATTTTCTTGGACTTTCTAACATAAAACTTCACCTTACATACTGTTCTTTATCTCCTCAGTAACAGAACAACTTAACATCCTTGAGTTCAAATGCAGTCATTCTTCTAGCAAAATGTGCTTCTTTTCAAAATGGCTGTTAAATGCTGTGAACACCATTTAGCCTCAGACCAGATTCCCAACAGAGCCTAGGATCCAGAAGCATGGGGGACTTTGTAAGCAAATCCAGAGACCACCAAAGAGGGCTAACTGCTGCCACCCCCCTAAGAACAACCATCCGTGCACCCTTAGGCATTTAGAAAATAAGACAGTAGCTAATTACAGAGAGAGAAGACATAATGTCCCACAGTAAGCCTGCATCAATTCTATAAACTGATTTTTTACTTTAAAAGGTGAGAGAAACTGCTGGAAAAAGCAAGATGACAAAAGGCAAAAAAAAAAAAAAAAAAAAACTATTAAAGGCTGAGAACCATTTTAGGATATCAGGTATAAGCACAAATATCTTTCATATCAACAGTCCGTGGCGGCACTGACTATCAGTTTTAGCAAAACCTAATCGGACTTCTGGTGTGGCACTGTGACTAAGCATTGGACTGCGAACCAGAAGGTCAATTGTTCAAACCCACCAGTTGCTCCTCGGAAATCCTATACAGGGTCACTATGAGTCAGTGGAGTCCTGGTGTGACGCTGTGGATTAATACGCTGAACTGCAGAGTCAGCTGGATCTGCAATTCAAGCTCACCAGCTGCTCCTCGGAGAAACTCTATACAGGGTCGCTGTGGGTCGGAACAGAGTTGACAGCACTTAACAACAACAACAATGCTCATTAAAAATTCAAAAGCCATTGCCTTTGAGCCAAACGCCACTCAGTGACCCAAGAGACCACAGTAAAACCAAAACTGCTCCACAGGGTTTCCAAGGCGCTCAGTCTTTACGGAAGCATCTTCCTCCTGCAGAATGGCTGTGGGTTTGAAACACGTTTTGCTTCACAGTCAAACATGGTAACCACTGCACCACCAAGTGTCTTTACGAAACAGAATTCAATATACAGTGAAGTTCATAAAACAGAGAAGGATATGCAGTCTATAGAAATTTTTATCAAGAATACCTAAAACTTTAAAAAGCTATTGAACTCTTAAACAGTATCTTGAGCATCCTGACTCCCTAAGGGTATCATATGAATTAAAGCACAACTTTACCCGGATTTGATTCCGCGTGTGTGAGATATTGCATCCCTTTGGGTAGGCTTAATTTCAAATTTCAGTGCCTCAAAGAATGAGCCTCAATAAGTTGGGGACATCATTATAACAGAAAGTTTCATCTATCAGACTGGCAAAAAAAAAAAAAAAAATCCCGGACAAAATCCAATGCCAGAGTTGAAAACTCTTGCCTCGTGTGAGTGGAAGTCTGAGAATACTACCCGGGAAATAAATTTCTTTCCAAGCTGAAGATGCCTATGTTCTGTGACTCAGCAGGTCTACTTCTATGAGTGGATGCCCAGGGAACCTCTAGTAATGTGAGCGAGAGGATCTCTAAAGCAATGGTCAGCATTTAAAATGTTTACAAACTAAACTCACAGCCCACACTGAGAAAAACCAAGCCCACTGCCTTCGCGTCCACTCCGACTCACAGTGACCAGAGCAGGCAGAGCAAACCCCATGGGGTTTCTGAGGTTGTCGCCTTGACAGGAGCAGCCCCTACTCCTTCTCAGAGCAGCTGGTAGGTTCAAACAGCTGACCTTTTGACTCACAGCCATGCGCTTTAAACATTGTGCCACTGAGGATCCTTACACACTATTTGTTGTCGTTAAGCGTCTTCAAGTCGGTTCCAACTCTTAACAACCCCTATATAGGGATTCCGAGGCGTTAAACCTTTGCAAGAGCAGAAAGCCTCATCTTTCTCCCACAGAGTGTCTGATGGGCTCGAACCGCTGACCTTGTATTCTGCAGTCCAGTGCTTATCCTATGGAGCCACTGTGCTCCCCTTATACACTAGGCTGTTGCTGTTAAGTACTGTTGAATCAGTTCTGACTAATAGAGAGTTTGTATAGGTTTCTGAGGAGTGGCTGGTGACTTTGAATGGACAGTATTGTGGTTCAAATCGACCTTACGGTCCAGTGCATATCCTTCAGCACCACACCAGCACTCCTTACACACTATGCTGTTGTTAAGTGTCATCGAGTCGGTTCCGATTCACAGCAACTCTGTATATGGTTTCCAAGGAACAGCTGGGTAAGTTTGAACCACCGATCTTACGGTTCAAACTTGACAGTCCAGCACATTAACCCGCAGCACCTAAAAAATGAATGAACTAAAGCTATGTGTATCAGCTATGATTCTCAACAACACAATGACGAATAAAAGGAGTTGTAGAATACTTATTAAATGGGGCCTTATACACACCAGAACATTTCACAGATTTGTATTATTTCATTATATATATCACATATATTTAAGACAAAATAGTAGGCTGCATATAAAGTTTATTTCCTAGGAAACGGGGAACAAAATGGGACGAAGGATGGGTAACACAGGGGTTTTATCTGTAGTTTTGTGTGCGTGTATAGGTTTTAAACTAACAGCTAATTCTGTGTGGCAAGTATTTATGGTATTACTCGCTGCCTTTTTCTGTTAAGCACATAGTTCATTGTTTTCCCTTTCGCTTCTGAAGAACCCAAAAAACTTGCAAATCCATTCTGACGAGGAGCATCAAATAGTGCACAGTACTAAAGTGATCAAAACTGCTGATGAAAGCCTGACTCAGACCCCCCCACAAAATGGGCCAGGCTGGAACAAGGGGCATTTCCTAAAGCAGATGGCAGACTCTGGCATTAAACAGATAATCTTGTCTAATACGGTTTCTGGTGTGGTGCTGTAGGATCAGCACCCGACTGTGAACCACAAGGCTGGCAGTTCAAAGCCACCAGCTGCTCCTCAGAAACTCTATAAAGGGTCACTATGAGTTGGAATCAACAGCACTTAACAACAACAATATAGTTTCTAGCTCCCATTTACAAAATGAACTGTATTTGCTTTAGGTGTTCCCTAATATGGTTTTTAGCTCCCATTTGCCAAATTAACTTGTTTACTTTAGGTGTTGTTTAATTGAAGAAGCTCTGGTAGCGTAGTGGTTACGAATTGGGCTGCCAATCTCAAGGCTGGCAGTTACGCAAGAGAAAGATGAGGCTTTCTGCTCCCGTATAGATTTACAGCCTCAGGAGCCCTGTGCAGGCTTGCTATGGGTCGGAACCGACTCCACGGCACATAACAACAACAGTCTTACTTGAGCCTTCAAGTAAGCTGTCACAGATCCTTCCTCTCACCCAATTTAGCGACAGGAGACAGTAGAGCACTTGATTCTCTGAGCGTGCTGGCCAGATGTTTCGGGGCAGTTCCTGTTTCTAGAAGTGGGCTTCTGTTTGTTTACATGCTGCACCATCCTGTCAGCCAGCCACCCCACTCCAAACAAGGCACAGACGAGTCTCAGCTACAAAATGGAACCTGATGTATCCTGACTGGACTTAAAACTCCTGAGTCATGATGGTCAAAGCAGGTTTATCTGGTGCTGCACTTTCAAATCATGTTTCATTATCTGCCATTTCTGAAGGATTAGGATGGTGGCGACAATCTGTCTTCATCTTCGAGTTGGGAGGGCTGCTACTCACTTACTCCCACTGGGGTCCTCCTATCTATGCCTCTCAAAGCTCCACCGGGAGGAAGTGGAGGCTATTTCATTCTTACTTCTTTCCAATGGCCAGAGTCTGCACTAAGAACACTAAACAGGATTCCGGGGTTACAACTGATCCATCTCTACTCAGATCTGCAACGCCACCCACCAGTTGACATCACACACAAGCCACCAATGCTGCTGCCATCTGCTGGTCATCATCAGCTCATGACAATTTTAGAAGATAAATGTGGCGCTGGAAGATAACCGCAAGGTCAACAGTTCAAACCCACTGGCCGCTCTTCGGAAACCCTACACAGGGTCGCTGAGTCAAGCACTCAGCTACCAACCAAAAATCTGGTGGTTTTTAGCACTCAGCTACCAACTGAGAGAGAAGTGGCAGTCAGCTTCTGTAAAGATTTACAGCCGTGGAAACCCTACGGGCCATTCTACGATGTCAATATGATTTGGAATCACCTCGATGGCATTGAGTTTAGCAGCTGTCCTGACACAGACTTTCTGTCTACGCTTTCTGCTCATAGGGCCCAGGGAGGCAGGCTTGGGTTCATCACAACATGCACGTAACTCGTTTTGAGAGTCCAGCTACAGACTTTCAGGCTAAAGCTACAGTTCTCAGCAGCAGATCCACAAGCTGTTTCACAAGCCCAGCTGTGTTCTACCAGAGGTCTTCCTGGTGCTTTGATTTCTATTTTCTGCAATCACATTATGATAGAACTGGCAGTCGCAAAATTGACCATCTGCTACGGCCACTGAAAGGGGTGTGGGCTGGGGGACGGATCGGCATGTGCTACAAACGTGGCTTAACCCATAAAACACCAGGCCCGTTCTTGTCCAGTTGATTCCGATTCTTAGCAACCCAACAGGGCAGACTAGAACTGCTCTAAGGGCTTCCAAAGTTGTGCTCTTCATGGAAGCAGACTGCCATATCTGTCTCTTAAGGAGCGGATGACAAACAGGACTTATTTACTTCAAATTGGAGCTGAACAAAATATGAAGGGTGCACATAAATGATCCAGGACTCCAAACACCCCTCAAAAAAAGCCTTGTAACCTCTCATTCCATCAACAGAGAGATGTCAGCAGGGATTCTGGGACCTTGGGGGAAGACTGTTCT